ATAAACCTTCATTTTTCTGCTTTGTTGTTCACATAACCTATTCTGGAAAATATTAGGGGGAGAGTGGGTGAGTCAGTTGCTGAGGAACAGCAGTTAGAACAATGGTTGGAAAATGAAAATTTTGCATTGCAGAAGAGTCGCATTGTTATTACTTTTTGTGCACTAAAAATTAGTGCTTTGTGAATAATTCACTAGAAATTTTCTAAGGTAGGATTCAAACAATTAATAAACTAGAGAACAGGATTTTGGGGCAGGGTATTGGGGGGAAGAAGGGTAAAGATTCAGACAAAGGACTATTCATTGGACCTCTTCAAGGGAAAGGATTGGGAAGAACTACAAATACTGTTGAAGATAGGTTGTGAATCATTTAGCAGCTGGCATAAAAACCAAGTACAATTTATAGTGAAGTTTGTGATATATTAGCAAATGCAGCATTTAAAAAACCCTGGAACTTGACTAATTGCTGTTACGAAAGGAAGTGGAAATATTGCAGTATAGCTTGAAACATATAAATAGTTTCTTAGTACTCCTGGACTGTTACATTAAGAAAGGAAAATAAATACAAGGATGCAGTGCCTGAAAAACCCAGAAGTGAAAAACATTGAAGATATTTACATCATATCAGTATTTCTTCTGGGTTATTTTTTAAATTCAACTTGCAGAGTTATGCTGACATTTCTGAAACATAATGGAAACAGAAAATGGGGTAAAGAGAATAAAAGGGAGTTTATAATTCTGCAAAAAAAAGTTACACTAAAAAATCCCTCTTTATATTAATAAAAGAAAGCTCCACTTATAAAAGTCTGTATCAGCTTTAAATTATTTAATTTCACTTGGAATCATAGAATAAATAAATAAAAAAAGAAGTAACTAACAGAAGGATTTAGTGTGATTTTCTATAGTTACTGCAAAGCTTAACTTTGAAAGTGTTTGTGGGGCTGAAAACCTTTTCAAATGTCTCTTAAAAATTTTGCAGAAATCTTTCGATCTGTTTTTGTTTTCTCTAAACTTTGAGCTTTGACTGTCACTTTTACCTAAATGAAAAAAACCGTAACTTCTGTTCAACCTCTTGGATGAATGACAAATCGACTACCATTGGTTGAAGTGCGTCTATGATTAAATGCTTAAAACAAACAAAATCCTCCCTGTACATGAAAACAGCCTCTGATCAACAATCAGATCTCTTACCACTATCTCAAACTCGAGAATTCTAACATTTTGCCACAGTGCCTATGTTTTTGTACGTCATCACATGCTTCTCATGCATGCGGCCTTTTCAGTCCTTTCACTTGACATGACTCATAATTTTTTTCATTCTACAGTTTAACAAGCTAATTCCCCAATTGTACTAAAATAGATTTTGATGCTGTTGAGGCATGGCATCAATGAAGATCTACATGTCCTCTTTCTGCTTTTTTTTTGTGAAACTCTGATTTCACTGGCTTTTAAAAGCTCATTGTTGTCATTAGTTTGGAAGGGATCAGCCTGAGCACAGCCCTGTTTCACATCTCTTCCTCATGTAAGTGCGCTCCGTCCAGGGTTATAGGGAGGTCTTCTGAAGAAAAATTGAGAACAGCAAACTGCTGAGAAATCAGCTAAACCAACAACTTTTGGGTTATGGAGAGAAAGTAGTATGATATCTGTATGTGGGTCAGACAACATAAACAGCCAAAGCCTGATTTTGCTTTTCTATTTAAAGCAATGACATTCTGTTAACCGCTTAATGTTGTATGATGTATGAGGGTGATGTCTTACAGGGATTCTCAAACCAGGCATGCTTTTTGCCACCATCATTAGCACTACAACAGCAATTACACGAGTTCCTGCTTTGCTGTGCCCCACTCCTGCACAGCAGAAGGCAAACCCCACCTTTCTCCTACATGGCATTAACTACATGGCTTCCTTGCTGCACTCTCTACATTCAGAAGAGGACTATAAAAGCCTCCTTGTGGTCCTGAAGTTTTGGAACTGTCAAGTGTACCTCAACCCCAATCTGCAGTGCTTACTGATAAGTCCAGCCGGGCAAGGCTTTCTCCTGCACAAACAGTGAGTGCTGCCAAACTGCATGAACTTTAGAACAAATGAAAAGTACCCAGCGTTGTTTGTTTTCTCTGTTTGTAGGCACATGTGTACAGCAGCCAGGAACAGATTCCCTCCACTGCCTCTCCACATAGAGCTAAAAGTTGGCTAAGTGCTGGCTGATGACTCTTCTAGCTCACTGTGTTGCAGTAATTTATCATGCACTAGGAACTCTTAGTCTAGAACAAAAAACTAAAGCTAAAGGTTAGTCAAACAGAATTTAGATGATCCATAAGAAGGAATTAATTTACTGCAGCTGCTTATATTACTGCCTGTTTAGCTCTATTTTTAGGTGTTGAGATCTTCTTAGGCACATGGATTAAGTTACAGGATCCTGAATGGCAGAAATTTGAAAGGACTGTGATCGAGATGCCTCAGTGAGAGCAATCATTCTAAACGAGCTTGACTGGCTGAAGTTGTAAGACAGTGGGAAAATGACTGATATTTAGAACTCAATATTAGTTTAAAACATTGGATGGAAGGAGGAATCATACAATTATTTCTTTCATATATGTGAAAAGAACAAAAATCTTAACAAAGTGGAAGAGTTGTTTTTAGGAGAAATCTGAATTGCAATACTTAAAAGCCAGAAGTTATGTCTGTGGGGTTTTTTAGTGGAAGTTCTTAGTTCACTAGTGTCCAGTAATTTAGTATTTATGTCATGAAGGAGTAAGTTTGTCAGAAGAACACTATAAATGAAATTGTGTAGGCTTCTGGAAATGGCTGTTGAAATCTCAGTGCAAAATGATGAATTAAAGTGAAAGTTGAAATTTCAGATGGAATGAAATATCTTGTCAACTTTACAATAAAGTAATTTTTTAATATAAAAAGCTTTGGAAAGTTAAGAGGCATGGTACCTGGCAAGCTCTGTTATTTTGCTTTGTATGCAGGAATTTTCAAAGGATTCCATGAAGGCAATAATGCTCAGTCTAGGATTAAACACTGGAAGTACTTTTTCCTTTACTTGGAACAGTGTTCATGCATGTACATTGCAAGGTACATCACATTATAAAGTTGAAAGCACAGCATTCCTTTCCAATTTTATGTACTTGACATACAGCATGGTATGTCTGTATTGTTCTTAATGATTAAGAGTAGAAATACATTTTACATGTAGCAATTACTCTCCTCCTTCACCGCTACAGCCTAACAGACTGTAATTCTAACTGCCATCTAACAGATGCCCTTTTTGATTAAAAATTCTGAGATGCAGAAGACATGCTTTCCTTTTGCACACTGCAATACTAATTGGAACTAATTATATGCTCACTTCTCTTTGATAAAACCATCTATTACAGAGAAGAAACTTTTAATGCAAAAGAGCACGAACTTCTCTGCATTGTTCTAACACTGCATCCTGTATGACGCTAGAGAAGACCAGGTGAATTGCTGGAAGATGTTCTGAAGGTGAATCCATGCTCCCTATGGTAAATGAGGAATTACACATTTCTGCAAATGAATGACAATGATTTTACTGAGGTCTGCCTTATATACCAACACACCACAAAATACTTAGCATGAATACAGGCTTAAGTTACAAGTTCACAGTTAAACATGTGCAAAATCTTTCTTAATGGGAGTAACAGCACAGACTGCATGTTAAGTTTTTTTTGGCAAAGGTAATTAAATATCAGCTGAGACTAGGAAATGTGCATTCAGGGAAACGAAGACTGAGTGAATGACTTCTTAAAGTCTGTTGCAGCTATATTGTAATTCTTTATTCTGCAACGACTCTGGAAAAATGTAAACCTTCCCTAAAAAGTGATTTGGGCAAGCGATACTGAAGAACTGCCAGAAGCTCCAATGCTTTTCCTTTGCATCCTCTCTCCTCCATATTTATAATGACTGTAAAAAAAAGCTGTTAATTAACTTTTAAAGCTTTCATTAGGTTTCCAATGAAACAAAATAAAATCCTTTCACTTCAAACCTTAGGCCCTCAGTGGCATAAAAGCTCCACTCCCCTGATCTGAGGGGGAGGAAAGGGGCCAATGATCTTCGCTTTTGCTGAAGTATTGGCACGAAGTCTATGTATAGTCTATGCGTTGTAAGTCTATGTTTTAACATTTACTTTCCTGCAGCCATCAAGTGGGAACGGGGTTCTGATTTTGCTGTTTTCTTCAGAGATATACAGGGAACGGTCGAGGCCTGAGTGTGTAACCTCACCCGTTAAGTAACTACAGTGCCAAAAAAAGCCGTGTTTTCCCTATCAAAAGTAGGGACTGCAAGACAGGCGATAGCATTTTGGAGAAGAATGTGACCAGTCCCAAGCCGAATGATATTGGGGTCCTGGGGGCTATTGCCCAGCAGCACACGAAGGAGAGCTGTACTTCAGGCGCTCCGCAGCTATGGTCTGCCACTGACCCGGCCTCTGGAAGCTAGCCCTTCCCATTTTAGGCAGCCACCTTTGCCCCTTTGCGGCAAAGCGCACCAGCTCACCCAGGCTTAAGGCGACGGGAGGGAGCGCGGAGGTGGCGTGATCCTTTGAACTGGATCTCTTAAGTTTCGAGGGGAAACAGCAGCGTCCGATCAGCAGCCAGATGTCCCCCTGCGCCCGAACAGCACCTCAGCGCCTTTTCCCGGCCGAACCCCTCCGGGCCCTGCCGCTGCCGCTGCCGCTGCCGCTGCCCCACACCCGCCGCCCGGCAACCGTTACCCGCCGCCCGGCGCTGAGGAGAGACCGAGGGCCAACAGCACCCGCTGTCAGCCCCACCCTCCTCGCGCTGCCACGCCCAGCCCCTCTCTCATTGGCTACCTCCTCTGCCCACCAGAGAGCGCCGCCCTCTCCCGAGGCTTCCCCGTCTTCCGAATGGCCGGCCGGCCCTGTCAATCTCTGGCGCGAAGGGTGCCCTCGGCCCAACGCTCCCCTTTCCGTCCCCGAGGCCCCGCCCACGCTCCCTCCTCTGCATCCGGGCGGAGGCGCGGCCCGGCCCGGCCCCCCCTGGGGCTCCTGCCGGGTGAGGTGGGGAAGGGGCGGGCGATCCGGTGCCGTCGCCGCTTCGTAACACCTTTCCGGCGGTGCCCTCCCCGGTTGGCCCCGGCGGCGGGGGCGGGGAGTCTTGGCCAGAAGTGGAAAAGCTCGCCGCCGGGCACCGAACCGCCAGCTTCCCTCCTTCCCCGTGGCGCGGCGGAGCCGGCTGCCCTCAGCCCCCTCCCCGGAGCCCGGTAGGTAGCCGTCCCTGGCCCGCCTTCCCCAGGGGCGCCGGTTGTGTGGCGGCTGAGGCCTCTCACCGGCTCCCTCCTCCTTTCCCCCCGACCGACGGGGTGAGGAGGGGGGCGAGCCGGGCCGTGCGGGCCGCGGCGGTGCCGGGGCTGGCGGTGGAAGGGCCCCTGGCTTTCCTGGGGCTCTGCCGGGTGACAAAAGCCGCCGCTAGCAGACCTCCGGCTGCCCCTCGCCTTCCCAAGAGGCGTTCGCTGGCCGGGAGTCCCTGGGTGATGGCCAGTTTCGGTGGGGCTGGCGCTGGTGGGTTGTTGGTGGGAACAAGTGAGTAAGTTCGCTTTCCGGCTCCGTTGCTGGAGTGCGTTTGTACCGGCTCCGTTAGCGGGTTACCGGCCAGCTGAACTGCCAGGGTTTGTTTGGTTTTTTTTTTTTAATTACTATTTTTTAAGTTATTTACAAACGCACTCCGAATATAGTGGTTTTAAGTTTGATTCATTTAAACCCTCTAAGAGTGCTATTTCAGGTGATCTGCTGTGAAACTTTTAAAGAGGTTATTTTCAGGCTTCCATGTTGACTTTGCCGGCAAACCCTTAAGGGATGTTTAAAGTGATGTGCTATGGGTAAGAGGAGTTGGAATAAAATGAAAGATTTTTCTGTCCGTAGTGCATTTTTAATATAAGATCTTTTGTAAGAACATACATAGTTACAAATATATACTGTGGAAAATTATCCTTTATTTTGCATGTTTTTAAGCAGCATCATAAGTGAAGCACACTGTGAAGTGTGTTGCTAGCTAGGTTATGACTATTAGTAGGGATAAACAGTTTAGCTGCACTGTAGACTCACACCTTTTCTGAGCACTGATAGATGTCTAGCAGATGCATTTTATCTTGGCCTGTGTTGTGATGTTAAAATCCATGCTGGTGAGAATGCTTTTCAGCAGCAGACTGTGGTTAGATGATCTTAAACTGATCATGATACTTGGAAATTATTTAGCAATGAAAATGGGATGATATATTCCCAAGGAGCAACTAATGTACCTTGGAAGAGTAGGCAAAAAGCATTAGAATTATAACAAGTTGGTTGTTTTGCCTCTGGGTCTTTAACATTCTTTCAAAAATGTTTTGAGACTTCTATGTAATTGTTTTCTCTGATCTATTAAAAGGTTAAAAAGGAACTTTTATCTAACTGTTGTATAACTTCTGGCAATCCTTAATTTGAAATGTTTTTAATTTTTTTTTGCTATGCATGCATTTTAATGCTTCCTCAGTGCTGCTGCAGAACCCCTGTCATGCAATCAAGTCTCCTGCTGCTGAGCTTGTTTTCCTGAAGGTAGTTCCAAATAGCCTCCTAGACATTGTCATTGGAGGTTCTTGAGGTTTGAGGGCCACAGCTGAAATAGTTCAGTGAAGAAAAGTGAGTTTAAGCTAAATGGTTATGTAAATAAAAGCAGACTAGTAAGAAAGTAGTTAAAAGCTAGGCTGATCATCACAGATAAAGACAGTGATTGGAACATCCTCCCTGTGACCTTAGGTAAGCCACTTACAATTTAATGTCTCTCCTTCAACAGAGGGAGAATGTAGAAGAGGAAACATTACACACCAATCTGTGATGTAGAACTGGTTTGGATTTTGGTCACTTGGAGAGCCTTCTGAAAGCAGTACTTTCAAAGGAAGTTCTGAAACTTAGTAAGTAGGAAAGTACTCAGTTGTGTTCCAAAATTATTGATGAATTGATATTGATCTGATTTAGCTCATATGTTATATTTAGTCCTAGTGTTCAATAGATGATATTTTCATTACCGTAAATGAATGAGTGGGTGGATTCAGTTGTTAAAGGGGAAGCCTTGGCCCGAGCACTCACACCCCACTGAGGGAATGGCATACACATCATCTGAGTCCTTCCCTGCTCGGACCAGAGTTCCTTTGCAGTGAGCGACCCCCATAAGCCAATATGTGCCCCTTCCCTCTCCTCACACACAGTCACTCTTGGGTGAGACCCCTCCCTCAGGTTTCCTGCAGCGGAGTCTCAGGTGTCAGATTTTATAAAAAGAATTAAATTGTGAGGTTCAGCAGCCGGGTCAGCTTGGGCTGGGTGCCTCCAGAGAGGGACCTCAAACAAAGAAATCCCTGGGTGATGACACCCTACTGATCTCTACACCTGCCCCTCACACGCTCTTCACTTGTCTTTCAGTCCAATGGTGATTCTTGGTCTGGGGTCTTCTAACACCTGCTGGGATTCTTTTTCAGTGTCCAGGCAGGCCACTGACTGCTCTAACCCTGTTGATGTGCAGTCTCTGCTGGGGGTTGTCGTCTCATCTTCTGGTTTATGCTTCTTGTGCACCTGCACTCCCTGGCAGAACGTGGGGAACAGAGAGGCCCCAGACTTAAGAAAAACAGTAGCTAAATATCAGTGTGTTATCAACATTTTCCTCATACTAAAAGACTAAGCACAGCACTGTACAAGCTGATAGTAAAATTACTGAGGAAATTATTGCAGCCTAAAGGCTTCAGCAAATCTAGCTACTCATGCTAAGTAAAGCTAAACACACAGCATAAATCACACCATATTATAACCCTAAGTAATTTATTCTAATTAAAAGTTACTTAAGATAAACAACTAGTATCTCAACACATTCTAAGAGAAGGTGCAGAGAATATGTGTAAATAGCAAGTATGCAACACTTTGAGAATATTAGAAATGTGTTTACCAATGCATTCTCCTAGGATGTTTATTGAACTGCTTTGTCCTTCCTGGGAACATTTTTGTTTGGGGCATTTTTGTTTGAACATATCTCACTGTAGTTATGCCTCATCCACTCTTCTCTCTCCTGTTTATTCCTTTATCTGGTGTTTTTGAGTATAGCTACATGTGAAAGTGCAGCATATGTTTTAGGAAAGCTTTTGTAATACAGGATAGATAATATCTTACTTTTGGCTGTTCAAAGAGGGGTATTTTGTACAAAATAAGTGTACCGTAGGTATGGAAAGATGACTTTTTTTTGCTATTTGTGTGTCTAGTATCCTATTGCAGCCTTGTGCAGTTAGGAATGGGAGGAGACATTAATGTCAAAACTGTCTTTGCAAAAATGTTTAAGTAAGCAACAGGAGCAGCAGGTACCTTTGGCCAGATGCAGCAGGAAAAGAGAGCCATCATGTTGACCTTAATATTGTCAAATTGCAGTTTTGAAAACAAAACTTCAGATTTAGAGTGTCTATATTGTAGCTTTAAAACGGTTCTTTTTGGTTCAGTTTGTCTTTGGGCTTTAAGTGGTAGTCTGTTAGGTTTGGAAGGCTTCGTGGGCTGGGCTATATTCTTGTAGAAAAATACTGTTGTGCTTCAGAAGTACAAGCTCCTTGGCAGATTACCCTTGTGATGCTGCAAAGAGTAGGGGACACCTTTGCAGCTTACAAGAAAGTCCTAATTAAAAGTTGTATTGTTATGTATAGAAAAATCCTTTGAGTATCTATCTGTATTTAAGGCACTAAATGCTTTTTATTTTAGGTCATTATATTTGGACTTACATGAAAGAGCTTGCATTTCTATATGTAAAGACATGAAAGACTTTTTGTACTTCAACAGCTTTTTAATGTAATGATATGAAGCCATGTTATACAGGTACTCAGTGTTGCTTTAGAGGAGTTCCACTAGCTTAAAATGAAACACATAATTTCAGACACTATTGTTATTGTTGATGTTGGTTTAAGTGTAGATAATGTCCATCTACAGAAAGATATCTTAAAGTCTGCAGTGATCTTGGGAAGATGAAATAATGTTGCAGAGATTGCAGTAAGGGACATGATTGTTCTAAGGATCTTGGGAGACATGTTTCACTCTAACCTTGACTGCTAGTATTTTCTTACTTATGCTTTGCAAACACTGGTTTCTGGAAAGAAGAAATTTCAGTATAAAACATTCTTCCTTTCTGTGGAAGATTGCCTCAAACAATTGCTACTCATTTATACTGGATTATTTCATATTTGGTATTGTTTAGTTTTGTATAAAACTTTGGGAGACTATTCCCCTGAGTTTTGTAGGAAGATGTTAGTTGGTTTTATATAAGGCGACTAACGATGAATTTAGGATCTTAACTGTGGCTAATCTTTTTCTTTAAATTTGTGTCACTACATATCTTAATGTATTTAATACGAAGGTGGGAAGTGTGATTCTAATTGGTGTGCGATCTGAGCTTTTTTATTTATAACATTTTATCCCGTATTAAATTTATAAAACAAGAAGAAAATGTAATTGAAGCCTTTTGAGAATATGAAGCTGGAGTTTAATTTTAATAAAGATATTTTAGGTAGACATGGCAGTGAAAGCCATGCATATGAAGGGAGAGTTGAAAGTATACGTGACAGTAAAGTACTTCATTGCTGTAGGAGGTACTTATCTGATTTATGGAGACTATTATAACAGCAGAATCATTTGTTTGCCATGTAGTTTGTTATTGTCAGAAACCCTTGACAGATTCATAGTTGCAAAACTTACTCTGCAGACATCTTCCTGTACTGTGGGTTATCCCTTTCCTTACATGCAGAGTTGGCAGGAGCATCTGTGGTTAACATCTGTTGTAAGGTTGTGTTTTCAGTAGCAAAAACGTGGTCAAATTAAGTCTGAAGTCTTTCATGCTAGTTTCTGCCTCAAATCGAAATAAAAATAGTTTGGATTAAACTACTTGGCTGATTTGGAGAAAAAAAACACATAGGGAAAGACCTACCAATACATGGGGAGACAAAAAAAGCAGAACAAACCCCAAGAAAAACACACCAACTAGCCGACTTGCTCATGATAAGTTCTGGTATTAAGTTAAAGTGTGTACTCGAGTTTTGGTGGGCTAGTTTATCAATCTCTTAATTGCTATTTAGTCAAGTTTTGCTTTTGGAAACACCATTTATAATAGTCCAACAGATCTGACAGTTTGGAAGAAATTCTACAATAACTAAGTCCTGACCGTGTTCAAGTCTTGGCTGCTTGAATGGAACAAAACTTCTCTGGAACTGCT